TAAAATAATGCATTTCCTTGATGTTTGACTGCACTCTATCTGCCAGGATGGCATTGTTGGGGCAATATAGAAAGATTGATCTTAAAACAATGTTTACATTTCCACTGGGGCCACTCCCTTGGTTTTTTGCAGATGTTTACAGCCAACCAAGAAAAACTAACAAAGCCCAACTGATGAATTTTTTTGGAGAAAGGAGTCCCTGCATTGAAGAAATACCCACAGAATGCCCACAGCATATATGATGGCAGGACTGTTTTACAAAAATTCAAGCTTCCAGTAGGTACAACATTTCGTGTTCTTGCTTTGAAAGTATTTGAAATTGACAAGCAATTCATCTAAAAGGATTGACGTATCCATCAAAAATGCAGAACGAAGTAAAATATTTCTCTGGAGAGGAAGACATCTTCAACATTGAAGTTAATGATGAAAAGGACATAAATGACTAAAATGTAAATTATTGGTCTCGGATCTGTAGGTAGTTTTGTTGATTTTTTTTTTATTTGTGAGGTACAAGATCAAATTGTGTTTGAAAATTCTTTCTCTGTCTTTTATTTTTTCATATGTTCCATTCAGATGACTCAAATAATAACTGTGATATTTGATGTAAGTGAATAGAAACTTGCAAAATATGTAATATAACACTAAGTAATACAATTTCTGTTACACATTTTTTGTAAATAAATGGAAATAATAATAACAATTGATGGGTAAAATGTGTTGTCCATTCCTCATATAATGAAGTAACACAGCGTATTGCTGCTGCTTCAAAGAGGAACATACCTCCATTCAATTGAAATTATCTAATACATTACAGCCATTTTGAAAATTACTCATAATTTCACTTAGTCTCTGATTTTCCACCCAGATTAAAATTTCTTCAATTTAATAGGATATGAATGTAAATATTAATAACATCTATCAATTCAAATATTGTTATGTCTGTGAGTTACACAAGAAGTGGACGAAACTGAGTGGAAGGCTACCATTAGATATTGTCCATCATATGTTTTGTGTTTATACAATTGTGATGATTAGTTTTAAAGTGTTTTTAGCTGGTCCCTTGAGATGAGTAGTGAGCCCGACTCAGCTAATGGACTATAAGTGGTAATGGGTTTTGTTTGGTTATACAATGACTTCTAGCAATCACATATTTAAGTCTGTGAATTTGAATGATATTAGAAAGCAAAATTTTCAGAATGGCTCTTTTTACCAAGAAGGAAAAAAGCTTCAATTACAAAATCAGTTAAGGCCTCTCTTTCTATTTTCAGGTATAACTACACAAGTAAGAATTAAATTGTAACCCTTACATCAACATTTAGTTGTTCATTGACAGGATTAGCATACGTTTCAAGATGCTCTGCTGCATGCCAGTATTCTAATTATTTTGTGTGAGATCTGTCAGCAGGATAAGTTAACCAAGTTATCTCTTTTTACTTCTGGAAAGTTGAGCTTCTGCTGCATCTGAGAATTCATTGATAGAAACAAAATAACAGTCATGGCTCTCCTGAAGTATTCATGGTTTTTTTCCTACCAAAGCAGTTTTTGAGTTTGTTTATTTCTTTGGAGCAAAATGTTTAAGTTTTAGTGGTATAGTGGCATCCTCTTTTTTCAGTGGATTTCTCATGCAGTCCTAATTGTTTCTTTAAAATAGCCTTCCAAATTTTCTTTATGATCAATGGCAACATTTTTGAACCATTGATTTTTCTCTTCTAGCATGGTAATTGTATGCCACATGACCTGAGTAAATTCAAATCAGTTAATACTCAACAAGTCCAAGTCCAGTGAGCACTGGCATAAAGTGCATGATATATTAAAAACAAAAAATTGCCAGCCTGTGAATAGTGACATATTTTTTGTCATACACGAGGCATCAATTCCATTGGCTAACAAAAACTAATTTTACTCTGTTTTTTCTTTTGCCAGAAAAAAAAAGAATTTTAAAAAAACTTGGAACATACAAAAATCAGTGATTATAATAGTAACTAAAACAAAGAACCATTTTTCCTGTTCATAGCCTGTTTAGAGTTTGCAATAATATTACCTGGTGTCAAATTGCTATGAACAGGAAGCAGGTAAAGGTATCATCCCTTTTGTAAAAAACAAATGTCATTGCATCAAACATAAGGGTTGTCTGACTTAAGTTGACCTCAACAATCATAGGCTTCCCAATGAATGTATAAAAACATACAATACTTATTAAAGCCTATTTTTTGAAAGTAGTTATATTTTTTCGTGTGTTTGAAGATATCCTATAAAATCTATATTTTTTCAACAAATCTAATCATATATACATGTATTTTTATATTTATATATGATTATTTTAAAACAGGATTTTGGAGAAAAATGACAGTTCTTCTCTGTAATGGGAAATAAAATCTATAACAAAAGCCTCATAAATTGATAAATATTCTTTGGAAAAATAACCTATTTATTATTGATAATATTGTGATGTTATAAGTGTTTCAGATTGGCAAATTGTTTGTGTGGAAAAAAAATTAGATAGAAAATCTATATTTTTCTGGCTAATCAGCCTACAAAAACCTATATTTTCATGTTACAACCAATTTTATTTTTTCAAAATGTACTGGAAGGTCTGTAATTGTCCATTTCTCTAACTAGTGTAATAGAAGATTTTCTCTTATTCCTTCAATCTTGATCCTCCCCACCAACCCCAGTAGCTCAATAAAAATTGAGTTTCCATACCAGAGCACAGATAGCCCATTGTGTAGCTTTGTGCTTAACAACAATGAACTAACCTCTGATTTTATCTTTTATCCAGTCCATCTACAGCTTCTCTTTGAATAAGGTCTGTCTTTTTATTATGAAAGTGAGATAGTACCACCACAGGGCAAACACTACATTAATATGCTTTTGGCTGTTTTATCAATACAAAATAACTTTCTTGTGGACTTTTGAAATATCACAGATGAAGATCTGATTGAAATTATTCAACACTGGATGTAGTTTTCTAGTATGATAGTAGTGGGACAGATTTTCCAAAATGCTCACACTGAGCATTAACTTTGGTGCTTTAAATGTCAGATACTACTGTTATAGTTTCATCTAGGATTTAGCATTGATATTCCTAGTTGTATCTATAGTTTTCAATGCTTAATTCACTGCTCATTGTTGGACAATGGCATCTTCTCAGTAAACACTTAATGCAGATTTTAACTATCTTTACTCACTTTAGTTATTTGTTTATCATTTATTTCCAGTTCCAGTTCAAAATATGTTTCCAACTTCAAACTGTGCTTTTGTAAGTCTTACTTAGGATTTGAAATTCTTTTCTCCAATTGATAAAGCAGAACTTTTTTCTCCTTATTAGCTTTTCTTTCATTGACATATTCAACAGGCTTAGATTTATTTATCAGCAAGTTATTCCAGTGATTTCATGACTATATTGGTAGCCAGCTTCACTGTCAAAGCTTCAAACTTGTCTTTTCAGCACCTTTTTAACTTCTTCATTAGTGTCATGCCAAGGTAATGGTTGCTTAGTTACTGCTTCTAGATCATAACCTGTGAACATGAGAGACATAATTTCTACAATGCCTTACACTGCTTCTGTTTGAATCCAGGAAGCTGCCAACTGAGTAAGACTAGTATCATAGTGTCCATTTTCTGCTTTTCCCATCTCATTTACACAACTTTATCTGCCAGTTTTAATGTTAGTGGACTTTTTTACTACATGTTTATTTTGCATTGATTTCAAAAGTTTTCAACCACTAGATGCCATTTTTTCACTTTGTGATACATTGTAATGAAACCTTCATCTAAATCGGAAGTGAATGTTAATATTTTGTAGTTACTTGAGTATTGTATGTATTGTGTCATCTTGAAAAAAATAAAACTTTGTGAATGTTATAATAGTGATGCTTCCATTTTCATTAGAAATCTTGGGTTACTATAGTGACCAGATTATCTTGGTTTAGTTTATGTGTTTCCTATAATGCTATGTTCTCACATTTATCCATTTTTCCCTTTTTAGTTTTTTTTTTATACTTATCAGTAAATTTCACTATGTGGTGGGTACTAGTTTGCAATCTAAAACAATGAACCATAATGCTAAACTTGTCTTAAACATAACTTAAAACAAATAGAATGAATGGGAAGAAGTTATGGAAACATAATAAGAATATTGAACTTTTAACTCCCCTCCATTCATAGCATTGCCATACATAACTGGTATTTGTACATATTGTGATTTTTGATTTATGTTTATGTATACAAAGAAAGGCGGTATTAAAAATCATTATTTTTAACTGAAGTACAGTGGGAAAATAGGAATTTAGAAGAATATGTTTTACATTATTTGTGAAAAATGTTTTGATTCTTTTTTACCATCAAACAGATGTGCACTCATGCCATATAATAGTTATATTACGATGCTGTTAAATAACCACATCAGTGAACAGTTCTCAGATTAAATGAGTTTTATATTACTAAAATAGATATTTTAGCTAGTAGCAAGAGGAAAATACTGATTAAATTTTGATAAAGAAAATAAAATTTGCATAATGTAATATAACAGTAAAACTAACAGGGCCTAAACTAAAATTTTACATGTGAAGAAATCTTTGTGCAAAATTCTTTCTCGTTAAGATATATTTTAAGACCAGAAAATATATATTAAAAACACTGACAGATACCTAGGGTTTTCCTCATATGTTCATTACCCTAAGACAGTTGTACCATATGTGCTTAGTGTTTAACCCAAAATAATATAGCAACATTTAGTTAAGCACACCATGACACCCAAAAGATAAAACTAGCTCTGTAAAAAAATATTGCTAAGCCAAGTTAATTATGGATACAGAAATGTACAAAAACTTCTAACATATATTCTAAAATTAAAACTAAAATTTAATTGAAAAAACCTGAAATATACTGAAAGTTATTTTTAAATAAATGGAAAATATATGTTTTAATTTTAGAATACTGGATTAATTTGTTTCTGAATATATCACACAATATCTAATCATATTGGATCTTCTGTTTAGATATGAGAGGTTGATCCGTCGGTCCAGGATAGAGGACCTCAGATCAATAGAAAACCTTCGGTGTCTGTATCACTGTGGAGAAGACAGGTTTGGTCGTCCAGTGATAGTCTTTATTGGTCATCGTTTAAGATTGTCAGAAGTAAATATTGACAAAGTAAGTAAAATTTTAATTCATTCTTTGCATTTTCTTAATGATTGTAAACTTTGGTATGTTAAAAGCAATCACTGCTAAAGTAAGTAAGTCAAGAAGGCACTTCATTATTTTGGAATTTTGAGTTTTCATCATTTTGATTTTGGATTCTTTCCAATGCTGGTTGGGTTCTCTTCATATACTGAGATATTTGGCTCTAGACTGGGTCCTTCTAGATAAAGATGTCTGAATTTTTCTAGAAGCTTAAGTAAATATAACTGTATTGTAATGCTGGTTTGCTTTTCTCTCTCTCAATGTACTAGGAGAAGTTTCTAGACTGGTAGATTTTTTTTCCCCCCAAACATGAAAAATTAGACATCCTGTGATTCTTGGTTAAACTTCTCTCTACATGCTAGAGTTGGAGTCTTTTCAGCTGCTGAGCCAAATTTTTCTCCATAACCTAGGATAGGTATCTCTTTCTAGACATATTTTTAAACTCTAGTGTTTGAATGCTTTGCAGATGTTAAATAGGTATTACAGAATTTTTGATTAGTTCTTTTGCATATAGTTGTGTTACAGATGTTGGGTTGTGTTTCTTTCCATATGCTAGAGTCATTGTCTTTTTTACATCATACTTTTCAAAAACCTAGCTTTTGAATCCAGGAATTGAAGTAACATTCATGATGTTGCATTGGGTTTCTTTCAATATTATATTTTGAAACTCTGAATTTTTTCCAATGGATGCTAGTGCTTGAAGTTTTCCTGATGCTGAATTGAATATTGTGTACTTTTATTTTTTACTCTGTGCTAAAGTTGTATAGTTATAAATTTAAGTTTGTGAATTACGATGTAATGTAATTGTAATGTAAAGTGATTCTAATGTTAAAAAAGTGTTTCAACTGTGTGCTGCTCATTTTAAAGTTTGAGTTTTATATACACGCTGAGTGGTTTCTTTATTAGAACTCCCAGGACACACATTTGGAGGACATAGCAATTATATTTTTTTATGTAAAAAGAGATTGATGATGTTATTGGATGACTGACTGAGTGATATAAATGTGAAAATGTAATCATATTATAGTTCAAGAAAATAGGTAAAAAGAAAGGTCTCAACTCCCAAACAATCATGACAGTAGGTGCTTGTGTATCAAGAGAATAGTTATCTCACACACTTTTTGAAAATCTGTTCAATCTGTCAGGATCTATCAACAGTGTCAGTCATAAAGAAACACATCTGACATTATGAATAAACTTGTAAAATGGAACATATGTCAATTAATCCAATATCCTTCAGTAGTAGTTGTATCATGCAAAGAACATTGCAGAAACTGTCACATGGCAACTAACAACAAGTCTGAAACTTCCAATCTTAGATACAAATGGGAAAGCATGACTTCATTGGTGGTCAGACCACAAACTCAGGGCAGTTATTTACTGGAAGTGTGTAGTCTAATGAGCAAATTTCAATAATCTAAAGTAAAAATGTGGAGAAATCACGAGACAAATGATCCTGCCTGTATTGTTCCAACAATGCAAGCTTTAGGAGATAGGGTATTGAATGTTTATATGACAGAGTTGTGTCCTTTTATCCCCTTAGAAAGATGAATAACATTTGGAGTGCACCTGTTGTTTTTGTGAATCATTTGCCCCACACAATGCTGCATTGCAACCTTGAAGTGTAAAAAAAAAGTATTGTAAGAATCCAACAGTCTTATAATGTATGAGATTGGTTCAAAGAGTATGAAAATGACTTATTCATTATCAGTCACTGGATCTCAGAACAGACTGAACATCTTTGAGGTGAACTTCAGCCATTACTATTTTCTGCATAATTTATGGACCAGTTGCATTTCATGTTCTTGGAACAGGTGAACAAGACACCTTATGATATTTTGTGTAGCGTATGACAGACTCAAGTCCAAGCTACTGTCATGGTAAAAGATGATCCAATCAAGTATTAGGTGGGAGTCTAAATAAAGTGGCTATCTGTTTGTATTAAAAATAACCAGTAATAATAATTTTTTATACAATAGGTATTAGTTTGTACAATATTTTTTTATTTTCTTTTAGGCAATATTATATTTGATCCATACAATGGACCAAGTCGTAAGACGGGACTACATAGTTGTTTACTTCCACTCACTAACGACTAAAGAAAATCACCTTCCCCTTTCATTTCTGAAAGATGTATATAGCCTCCTAGACTTCACATACAAAAAGAATCTCCGTTCTTTTTATATTGTCCACCCTACCTTTTGGAGCAGAGTAAGTACAGTGCTTGAATAAAGTATATGGGTGGTACTGGAATTAGCTAATGTATGATATCCTGCCATCCCTTCGTATATAGTAAATTGTAGATTTTGGGGCCACATGGTGATAGAAAACTGTATAGGGTTACTAACATTTAGGTTTCAGCTTAAGCTGATCCAAAAAGGGCAAATTAAATTTTGCTGTGAACTTTGCACTAAACAGTAGCACTGCTAGCCTGTCGCTAAGTAAGGAGATAATATGTGAAGTATATATTATATAAAGTATACAATTTTCTTACCTGTAAAACCTCCTATCTTGTGAAAACAGATGATATGTTATAACAGATTAGAATAAGTTGGAAGTTTTTCATGCAAGAATTTTGGGTGATTATATTGCATTATGTTTTCCTGGGAAGTGTACATACTGCTTCAAAACATTCAGTAATTTTTATGCCTTTGATATTCTGTGTTTTCTCTGTTTTTATAACAGGTGATGACTTGGTGGTTTACAACATTTACAGCTTCCACAATCAAAGACAAAATTCAATCACTAGGTGGCATTGAATATTTATATTATCTCATCCCACCTGAACAGTTAGACATCCCTGAAGATATCCTTGAATATGACAATAAGGTAGGCACTTCATCCCTGGAATTACTTTTAATTATGATTGTCATGTAAGCAGTGCATCTCAGAAATTTTCTTGAAATAAATAAATAAAAATACAAACAGCACATCAATTCAGCTATCCTGGTAAATGTAACAAAATACCATAAAATACTCTTAGGAAATAAATTGATTTTGCAGATTGATTGAATTGTTTGCCATTCACATGTTTTTACTGTCAACTAGATAACATAAGTAAAAACAGTCTGTGAATCTTGAACAAAGTATACAATAGCTCTGCAAATTACTCAGTATCAACAGGAAGTCATAAAAACTGTGATGTTAATTCTAATGCATGTTTGGAATTGAAATAGGAATTTTTAACCTAACGGTACCTTATGTAGAATTTAACAACTATGTAGATTTCAAGTACAGCTGTCCCTGATTATGAACTACTGACCAGAGGAAGATAGCCAGCACATTTATTATATATATATATATATATATATACCAAATGACAAGATTGACTATAACTTTTATAATTCACTCACAGCTGAAAGCTCAGTTCATGTTCAGCACCTACACATTTTGAACCCCAGACATTTCAACCCACAGTACAGCTTGCTAACTGATAGACCAGACATAACTTTGTATGATTGCTCCATTTTACATTTTCTGAGATAAACTATTTAAAATTTTGCATCATAGAGCCATACCATAACTTTAAATGTCAGTTTGATACGCAAACTTAGTAGAGTTCATTCTCAGCATTTTTGCGTGATGTTAGGAGCATGCGCGCTGGAGTTTCTCGAATTATCGAGGAACCCCCGCGAATGTCCGAGTGTTTGCTAGGCACCTTGTTGATGAGCATGCATGTCATGTAAATCTCTGTAGTTTCTTTTATGTTGTGGTATGCATATACACTAATGCCTGACAGAAAGATATGAGTATGAGCAGTACATCAAGTGCTGAAAATGTTATTCACATAATTATTTGAACATGTATAGTAAAAGAGAAACAAGCAAACACAAGTGGTTGAATAAAAACAAAAATTGTTATTCATACAATCAAAATGTGTGTTAGAACTTCATCTCATATTGGCCTGCCTCTAATTTCATTATATAGGCTTTTAACTGTTGGGGTAGAGAGATGATTTTTAGTGCCTCTATAAGACAAAGATTAAAATCAGAATAATGAGATACCACTCTGATAAAGTAGACCAAGGTCCTGTTGCAGTATCCTACAATCCTTAGATTACTTTCATAATCAATGGAGGTAAACTCCCAACTCATAATAACTTCTATGAATCTCTGTACCACCCCAGGAAATTAGTGTGACCTTACTTAATAAGTGTATGACACAAAAAAATGTCAAGAAAACAGTGTAAAGACTCATTGGACAATCACTGTGATACGTAATTTTGTCTAAGTTAAAGAATCAGCACAAGTTTACGATCTTTGCACATCCAGTTTACAAGAACACCACTAACTGTACGTATAACACCTGCACAGAAACTTGCCTGAATATACCTAAATAAAGATATATACTTCTAGCTTTAAAAGGATTAAATTAGCAGTTATTTCAATTGCAGCAATTCTCTTCATCCTTATTTTGGATCCTAACTTGGCCAGAAATTTATAATAAAACTGTAAAAATTAGAAAACTAACAAGGTCATGGCTTCCTATAACCACTTCCCTAAGACTACATGCATGATGCCATGATAGTTAAACATAGCAATGGGAAACTGTATTCATACACATAAGCTCCAACAGTTAATTAGACAAAACTAAGGCAAAATAATACAAAATCAAAACTGATAGAATTTTAACCACGTTATAAATCATAAAAACAAGTTAAAATCAGTCAAAACAAATGTTAAGAAACTTGAGTAAAGTTGCACATTGAAATGGTCCAAATATTGTTATCAATAGAATATAGCATAGGATAATTTATATCAAAATAAAAATGAAAATATTACAGAGATACTGATATTACTACAACACTAAATGAAAAGATAAGGAACATCATAAAATAAATAAAACTGGATACAGAACTGAAATAAATGAAATCAAAAGATCAACCAACTACATGTTTGCCATTAAGATCACAACAGTGCACACACAAAAAAAGAGCAAATTTGAACATATGAAACAATAATGAAAATTCAAAATGAACATAAGTAGAAAGAAACGAAAATACAACAAAAACCATTAATAATGTAAAATAAATTTAGTATAAAATCAAAATAAATACAAAACTCAAGTCACAGAAGAAACTCCAAAAATTTAACAAAATTATTTACAGAAAAACTGACTGAAAATTGTAGAAAATCAACTTAGATAAAATACGTTGAATGAAATGTAAAAGAACCAGAACAAAAGACTATTGAGGCTGTCTTTAGATTGTAACCTTTCAGTGGTGATTTTCTGGAAGGTCCTCTTTAGTCCCCTGAACCTCCCCAATTGAGATGTTTTATTTCCTGGCTTAACTAGAAGTTCACAGTGGCTAGCTGGTGGTCCTACAACTGTTCCTTCCATGCTGCTGATTGATTTATTATGTTGACACCACTTCTTCCTTTCTCAAATGGCTTGAAATAACCTTTGGGGTAGTCACTAGTAAAGTGTCAGTAGTTACCTGATTGCTGTTTCTTTGGGTTCTATTGTTAGTTCCATAGGCTTCCATAAAGACTGAGAAGAGGAAGGGGCCTTCATCTTTTCTTTGTAGCTTTTCCCTTTAGGGGGTTAGGGATCTAATTATGCTGCTGAAGTTGTAGCACAGTCTCTGACTGTTGCATTGCTGTTGTACTACATTCTTCCACCAGACATTTGTAGACCTTAAAAAACATGCTGAAAACTCCATCATCTCCATCAAGAGTTGGTGGTGGGTAGTATTGACTATCTTCCTTCCATCTAGTCTATCACTTCAAAATTAAGGACAACTAGCACAGATAGGCCTCAAGTAACTTTGTGAAAATTTCAACAAATAAACAGGTGAAGAGCTAGGGAACTTATAAATTCCTAAAGTATAAAAGAAAATATTTAGAAAAAGTTAGTTGTCTCAAACACAAAACTTGATAATAATATTCTAAATAAAACAAGATCACTATTTAATGGTAAAAATATATTTATTAAATCAACATTGAAGAAATGTATAATTAATATTGAATAGCCTGAAAATCTATTTATAGTATATACATGAATGTAAAATTAAACATTATGAATATTTAAAATATAAATTATTATATAGTAAGTGTTGTTAATATGTACTTAAAATCTTCTATATTCAATGTATATTTTTATATAATTATTAACATTTACTTATTGTAAATAATTATTATATTTAGCTTATGTTTATAAAGCAAACATGATCTACACTTAAGTACATTATTTGGATCATTATGTATATTGTAAAAATTTATTAATTTTTAAATAAAGTTTTTCAATTCAAAACTTCATTATGATGACTGACATAGTTTTCAGTTAATTCTGATCAAAGATAGGTTCTGAAGACAAGTTCATTACAAACTTGCTCACATTAGTTTGGTCATACTTCAAGAAATTTGCAAGTTTGATGATGTGCATAGCCAGTTTGCTAAATTGAATCAGAAATGGTGAAGTTTGCATTTTCCAATGTAGACAACAGGCTATTGAAGTTGTCTCCATTTGTAATAGACTGCACTAATGTATTCACCAGTAGATAAGCTTTGCCTCTCTTGATGAAGTAATCAGTAAAAAATCAGCACTGATTACCTCTGTCCATTTTGAACAGAGGATCAGATATCAACTCTCCTAGAGTTTTCCTCTTACGTAGCTGGTTTTGTTGAACTTCTATAAGGTTGCAATGATTTATGACTAATTGGTGCCCTCTTTTCATTATGCAAAGTCTAAAGTAACTTGGGGGGATCACTTGCTGCATCACTATGTGTCCAAGAAATTTCACTTCCATGCATATGAATGTACATTTCTCTGACTTGTTTTTCAAGCCTGCACATTTTATGTACTGAAACAATGTTCTTATATTGTCTAAAACATACAACCAAAGACTAGGATGTCATCCACATAAATGAGACATCTCTCCCATTGCAATCTTCCAAATGTTACCTCTATTAGATTAGTTACAAAGACCAAATGTCATAACATGGAATCTTTAAATTCTTCTGACTTTTGAAAGTATTTGTAGGTCTTGTTTATTGAACAAGTGGGTCCCTTCCACTTCATCCAGACAGTGGTAGTATAAAGGCATCAATTCATATTACCAAGTTCAACTTCCCAAAGTGCACACAAAACCTTGGCATTCTTTCTTTCTTTCTATCTGACAAACACTACAGGAGATAACCAAATACTCTACAAAAGTTGTATTATCTCATCCTTCAACATCCATTTGATTTCAGCACTGACAATATTCCTGATTCTCATCAAAAGCCTGCACAGTGTTGTGTTTATCACCTGTGTCTATGTAATGGTGTTGATTGTTTTTCAATCCACAAACATATTAACAAACTCTAACAGCAATCCTCTGAGTTCACTACAGTAGATGGAGATAACACAATAAACTGTATCTATAATACACCATGGAATACCACTTGCATATTTAGTGGTATTGTTACCTCCTATTCAACATGCATGTGTGTACAGTCCATTATTCGCTGGCCCAGTCTGGTTGGTACTGGGTGATTTTTGCTGCAAAACTGCAGTTCACCTGGATCACAATGAAAACTATCTGACAATTTCTGATGTGGGTCTATCTTTAGGATACCAATGGCTGAACAGTGAATGGAGACAGTTACCTTCATTTGGCAAGTGATATGGTCAGGATATAATCAGAAACATTCCCATCTATTCGCATCTAGCTTGTCACCATTTTCTGGAGCAATATTTGCACTAACTGGCTGAAGTGGTGACTTCCTTCATAGTGGCTGATAAGCAGTTAGAAACTCAGTCTCTCATACATGTATTGTCATTAACTCATAGAAAGTGACACAAAATCCTTAATTCTTCAAACAGCCACTATAAGATTGTGTGCAAATTGCCTACTCCACTGACTTGAGTTAGTGGCCAGATGCAATTTATGTTCCACTAGTGCAAATTAACTGGATCTGCTGCAGCCTTGGCTTGTCATTGACCTTCTTGCATCTTTTGCAGCATCAATCAGAATAGTACTAACATTGATATGTCCATCTTGCAATGGGATATTGGTATTTCTGTATCTAATGATTAGATAAGCCTCAGCTGAAATAGGGACTCTTTACCTCATGCTTTTGGCATCTTTGGAAACTCTAATCCCATTGCATCAGTGCTGCAGCCATGGGTACTGAGCTTTAAAAGCTTTGTTACCCCACCTGGAACCATGGCATCTGCACCATGATGCCTTAATGCATTTGCTACAGTAGAAGTGGCAATCACTGCTTCTGTTGAGCATTGTGGCCTTAAAAGACCCTGGAGGTTGTTTCAGAATAGGGTCCACAGCTGCAGTTACTGCAGACATTGGTTTGTTTTCTGCTTTAGTGTACAGCTTTCCATGGCCACTTCAACTGCATCATCACAGAAACTGCCTCCTTCATTAATTAAATGCCCTTGAAGTGAGAACCCTATGAAAATATAGCCACTTGTACAGATGATATAAGAAGTCTACATTGGAAGGCATTCTGAAGCATGTCTCCTGGTGACTGTGATGAGATATTATTAATAAGTAAATGAAAGAACTGCTGAATGAACATATACAGCACCACATAGGTATTATTAGTTTTGAACTCAGCCTGGTAAATTCTTTACAGAGTTGAATCTGCAGCACAACTCTTTGCATCGGCATAGTTAGGTGTAAACCTAAGTAATGACAATGGGTATGTGAAAGAGGACTGTTCCCCTTCAACAGGTGGTGTCCATGGGGTCTCCCCCAGAAAAGTTCTGAAATTTAAACCTGAAATGGTGCATTCTGATGACCTTTTTTGTGTATATAGTTTATAAGAAATTAACCATATGGATGGCATAAAGTATTACAAAAATTTACCTTTTTAATCACTGGCATTTTATTCTATATTTTGTTGGGAGAAAATAATCAGAGTAAGATTTTATATCAGACAATTTGTATCTCCAATTTTCAATAACAGTTATGACCCAGTCATTGAGCTTCTCATCTAATTGTTCTCAGGTCTCAAGTGCCACATTGTCTAAACACAACAAGATGCATCCCACCACCTGTCCCTGAGCCTATCTGTTCCAAGCAACAATGTCAATGAAATGCTTGAGGAAACAGTCTAGTCTTCAGTCACGATATTCTTAAACACTGGTGGGTCCACCCTGTTTCACTTTCTCACATTAACTAAATGATTGAGCATTCAAGTACTTGCTACATGTTTTTCTACTGCTGTATGGCTGAGATGCAGTCAGAGTTCATTGGAGGTTCTCATCTTCTTCCAAACATTTGTAGCTATGCAATCCTAATGGATACAGTATCCTTGGATGAAATCTGGAACAGAATGTCACAAGATGCATGTTACATTTCACGTCTACTTCAATTGTTGGCAGTCATGGAGCATCCTTACCAGCTGGAAACTTGCCCAAATATATGATGGGCATTCGTTGTGTCACTTCATAGCAAATTTCATCCAATACTTACATTTCACTACAATCTTTGGCCGATAGTGACTCAGACCAGTACTTAGCAATGCCTAAGCTAGTCAAATAATTCCTAGGAGTCCTGTTTGGACCATCCCAATGAGTCTTAGGATGTCCAGGTTAATCATTACCTGTCTTTGCTGTACCATGCTTTTATATGCAGTAGGTAACAATGCAGAGATCACATAGCAGCAGTCGAGATTTCCCCCAGATCACCTATGAACCTCTCAGTAACAAGAAAAGATTGAGAATGCATTCTCAACAATGGCTTTCTCAATCTAGAAAGTACCCTTCTATGATTACTGTTTACAAACTTTACAGTAACTGGAGAGTAAAAACAAAAGCACATGCAGAATATACTCTACATTAAACAAATTCTTTGTTCACACTATCAAAATGTAGCATAATAACTATAAGTGAAACAATTAACTGATGCACCATCTATCATGGTATTTTTTTTTCCTATGGTACATTTTACAATTCAATAGCACAGTATCTTGATTTGATATGAAAGAAACCTAAACTTGGGTGCATCCATCTTGTTTCTCATGACTTCTTGCTCTATTCTAAATATTCTCGTCATCTCACTTACAAAAAAGATTTGTGATGGTGGCCAACCACATAGATGAAACTACTACAAAATGGATTATGAAAATTGAATTGGACAATGCTCAAGGTAACTTTTAGTGTGGAAGTAGTTTAGTTTGTGAAACATGATGCTCGAGGTAGGAGGACTGTTGATAAATCCATTGCAGTCTGCTGAATATGCTACAGTCACGTACACTATATTGGTAACACAACAAACATGGCTACAAGTATTCAAAGGAAACACCCTGAGATAAATATGAAAATGAAATCAAATATTCTTCTTCACTTTAAATGTTAAAAGATGCAACAAAAAGCATGTCAAATTGATATATATGCTTCTTTCAAATCCAGACTTAGTTTGAACTCTTCCAAAGCACAGCTAATCACAAAAAAGTTTTGAAAATTTTATTGTAAAGGATTTGAGGCCTTCCTCTGTTGTTGAAAATATGAGCTTTACAAAATGGTCAATGTGCTTGGAACCAAGGTATGACATTCCATCTAGAATTTATTTCATTAAAACATTGATATTAAATGTATGCTGATACTGAATCATATGTACTGAAGGAATTAAATACAGCTTCAGCAGTGACTATAATTACTAATGCTATACAGAAATTTTACTTTGGATCTTTACTAAGTTTTTTACTAAGTAGCTTTAAAAAAAACTAATTGTGCTTATATTCTTTTAACATCAGGTGTAAAACAACAATTCATTACCAATGTTTTCTGTAGGAAATCAAAATAATGGAAAAAAAAAGAACCATTCTTGAAATTAATTAAACCTGTTGCTGAATATTGATATATTTTGAATTTATATTCATTTTAAATTTCACTAATTTGGTACGGTGCACTGTAACTAATCTCATGATATTGGTTTCAGATCAATGGAGTCCGATATTGCACACGACCAGCAACAGATGCTGCTGCTGCATTATAGAATGTATCCTAATTGGAAAACTGTTGTATAACTATTTCTAGAACTGTGAACCTACTTGAGAAAGACTATTGAAAGTTGTCCTACCATTTTGTAAAGAAATTGTGTGAAAATGATCTGTAAAAAAATTAATCCAACCACATTACAAGCTTTCTAAAGTGCTCTTGTGTGTGTATGTGTAGGGGGGGGAGGCATGTAATTTTTAAAAGTAACCAGATAAAAAACATTAAAGTTCATGTAACTTACTTGCTCGATGATTTGAGTTTTGGATATTTGTGAAACATTATGATGTTTTGGAAAATTATTAATCACAGGTGAAATATTTGTCACGTTGATTTTAGTGTCTGCTTAGGATGTTAAACATTTCCATAAATTCTGTGAAGTCAGAATAAGAAAACTCTTATTTCAACTTGTGCAAGAAATCTTGAATTTAAAAGTAATTTTAGTGCAAAAAATTTTTGTTTGACATAAGTGAAATTTAATTTTAATGTATATAACATTTGCAGAGCAGGACACTGAAACTTTCAGCTTGTCTTGTACAGTTTGTCACAGTAATTGAACTTAGTTTGTTTTATAAATGTTTGTCTTGCCTTTTTTTTTCCTCATTCCCTAACCATCTTTTCATAGACTGTATATGCTTATGATGTTAAGTGCAGTTCATCTAATACTTTTTTTCTACCAAGATAAGTCAGATCGTCTCATTTAAAAAAAGTGTATTGATTAAAAACTGTTTAAAAGTTACCTATAGTAACCTTGTTAAACACATCAATTATAAGTTTATGTTATTGGTATATTCCAAGTATGTTATTTGTGATGTTGCTGTTAGATTCATTTTCTGAAAGTTTTGTATGTTCTGTTGCATTGTTAAATGCAAGTTCTAAATCTTTTATTTCAAGGCAGATCTTACCAGTTGAGCTACTGAAGATATAACTGCACTAGTTTTGTATGAATTAATCTAATTTTCATTAATAATTTCAAATCTTTAGTATAATAATGATTTGAGAGATCTCAAAATAAATGTTTACTATTGCCAAATATGTGCATGTTTTCTTTATTGCCAGCACACCTAAATCAGAAAGGATAAGAAGGTTTGCTGTCACCTGTTGTTTGAGACAGTAACTTTTTAGCAATACACAAACATGTTACAGCTTTGTTAAACTTGAAACAAGAGAAAAACAACAAAGTAAAACTTAATAAAGGTACAAACAGCACAGGGAAACTTCACCTTTAATAATTAGTTTTACAGTATGGGTAATTTTATGTCTTCTAACACCTTTTGGTTGGTATTATTAATTAAGATAGTAAAATACAAAAAGATGTTTCTTTCAGATTGGTTTAGGTATTAAGCTGGAAATTCCCAAACACCAGTGAGCCCTTCCTCAACTTATAGACTGTTGTTGCCTTAGCTATACAATAAACCTTTATTGTAGCAGAAACATTTTTTGGGATCTTATATATTAACATTAAATACAACCAATAATGAATGTTATGGTTACCTTAAATGTGTGTGCTCACTGGTTTAGCTTTCTTGCAGTTTCTTTACAATAGTAATCCTAAACCCAATATACCCTTAAAACTTGATGTATAGGAATTTGGTTGCCATGTAAATGTACACAGACTATTCCCAAAAAGATTGATAGAATCTTCAATTAGGTTTGATTGATATGGTCATCTTCAAAAACATATTTATTATCTTTTTTGTATGATACCAGGAGATATGTCAAGTTTCATGACAGTGACTTTCTGGTTTAGAGGTTTTTCTCTTATGGTCATAGTCTTCATCCTGTGAAATATCAAATGAGAACATTTCTCCAGATTAGTTTAGGTTTTGCTTTTAGAACTCTTTGTAGTCCTTAAAGACACGTTGTGCATATTTTCCACTTTGATGGAAAACATTGAAGGGTCCTTTTTTCAAAGTGTTGTGTTCTTTATTTCTACATTACTTAACACACTCACATTACAAATACTGTTCAAAAAGAGCTATGAAATATAACCCTTAGCACAGAGTACCCAAGCACTTTCAAATGCTTGTACATTTGTTATGAATTCAGAATGTAATTGTATAAAATGTTGTCCATTGTGGAATAGCCTACATCTGCAGCAATGTGTCACTAATTAACATAAACAAGTTATTCTTATTAAGTGTAATTAAACCTCTATATGTAAACACAATACAGATAAAAACAATGCTAGATCTTCTTTGTTATAAGTTGGTATGTTAACCCTGAATACATGATTCTTAGAACTTTATGAGTATAACTGCATGCTATAATAATGTAATGAATGAAAGGTTTAGAAAATGATCTGCATTGTCAGGTAAACCTGTAACAAGCTTCAAGTGTGTGTGTGTATATATATATACACACAGTATGCTACATATGAATATATAAGAATAACTTACTCAAAAACAACTTATTTTAAAATAAGAACATGGGATGATTAATTTTGTTTTTCCTTTTTGTATTGATAATGTCTAATAGTGTTGATTAAACTTCTGTGAACTTGCACTGGCTCATTTGTTTCATTATGAGGTCTTGAAATAACTGATAAATATACTATCAAAGATACTTTGTGATTACATTGTATGTAAAATTAATTAAATCCAAATATGTATTAAACATTTTCCTACAATGTGTGTTCTTATTTTATGGCTACAGTGATATGAAACTGACGTGCCATTTTGAACTAATTACGCTTCTCATTATCCATATCTGACATTGTAGTTGCAAGATGCTTGAGAAGGCATTTTTACAAGTTAGATGCTGATTTTAGACCTCCACCTAAGGTTTTCTATTGCAGATGAATTACTGGTATACTGTCAGAACTTCAGTGTTAGCTTTAAAGATCTACCTTTGGTTAAATACAAATGTCCCAATTTAAGTACCAGGTTTCAACTTTGGTTATGTGTTATTGTGAAAACACACTGTACCACTTTAGGTACCAATTTTGGAATTTGTTGTAGGTGCTGTTTTATATTTCTAATAAAAGAAACTGTTTCAGTTTAGCTTTCAATTTTGGACATATACTTTAGGTTATACTATTCCAACTCAGTTGAACTTCTGCTTGAGGATTATAAAGTTCAAAGAAACATATAACAGCAACATAATTACAAGTTTCTTACTTCTCCATTGGGTTATATATTACTAAGAAAACACAGGATCCCAACATTGCATCCACTTTTGGACTTCTACTTTAGCTTGTATTTTACTAAAGAAACATGCTATTCCATTCAGTTAAAACTTTTGAACTCTTGCTTTTGTTTAAAAATTACAGATGAAGCACAATGTCTCAATATTGTTGCCAGTTTGGTTCATTTTCCTTAGATTACATATTACTGAAAAATCACTCTGTTCTTCCTTTGATGCCAGTATTGCAACAGCTGTGCCAGTTTGAAATTCTTCTTTCATATGCTACTGAAAAAGTACACTTTCAAATTTGGTGTCGGTTTTAAGTTTCCATTTTAGGTTGTATGTGACTGATGAAGTACACTACTCCAACTTATTTATAAATTTTGAATTTCTGCTTTACATTATATAAGACTGATGAAGTGTGCTGTTCCAAAATATTTGTAAATTTTGAATTTCTGCTTTAGGTTATATGTTCCTGACAAAGCATAAGGCTCTAACTTAGGTTCAAACTTTGGACTTCTGCTTCAAGTTATGTGCTACTGAAAAAGTACACTGTTCCAACTTTGATGCTAGTTGTACACTGCTGCCTTATCTGGTGTATTTCTATAAATGTATTTTGTCCCAAAATTAATATTTTAGATTTTGTGCATTAGGTTATATATTACCAAAGAAGCACATTCCCCAACATTGTGCCAAATTTAGAATTTTGATTTACATATATTAATGAAGATTCATTTTGTCTCATATTTAATGCCAATTTTGGACTTCTGCCTTAGATTATGTGGAATTGAAGAAACACTGTACCAGCTAGGTTTGGATATATGCTTTAGGTTATGTATGGTATGAGACATGAAAGACCCCAATATAGGGAAAGAAAACTCCAAATAATACAAATATTTCTTATTTATCAGGCTAAATGTGTTATCACTGAGAAAGTCTAAAATTACAAATGTTCAGAGTTCACCTCTGTAATCAATGCAAAGTCTAACATTGTAAATGTTTAATGGTATACCACTGTTATCAATGCAAAGTATAATGTTACAAATGTTTAATAGTATACCAGTGTTACCAATGCACATGTGACGTCTGGAGACAAATGAAAAGCACACATTCCTCGAGTGAGAGTCTGAAATGCCGAGATGATCTGTTAGTGAAGGTTCTCAAGTCTGGTAGTGTGGGAAAATAACTCTAGATAAGTTACATGATATACAACAAAATTATTAACCTCAGTATCTCTGTTTGGAGGTCACTATGGTCAATCTTGTACTGAGGATGCATAGTCTCATGTTTTGACCTCTGCTTTAGATTACTTATTACTGAACAACCACACTGGATGTGGTGGACATAGTATGGTTGAAATATGCTCTTCTTCTGGACAAATGCTAAAGGATTGAATAAAGAAAGTAGTGTTAACATAAAATTAAGTCTGATACTAATGTCTTATGGCAAGTCTAATTGATTTATAATCATGCTTTGCCAACTTAGAAAAGACATTCATGCCATAACAACTGTTGTTGTAATAAATGCTTATATAAATAGTGTTCAGACCATTACTTTGGGTAAAGAGAAGCAAAATTTTCTGACCACCCCGGGTTGTCTTTCAGACCCAAAATATTTTTTTGAGGCTTGAAACATTTTTAAACCTAAATTCCTGCCATAAATTTGATTTGATACATTGTTCATTGTCTCCCAGCCAGCCTGATGAGCAACACTGTCATCGGCAATGGAAATGGTGGACGTAGTGTAGTTGAAATGCTATTATACACTTCTTTTTCTCAAAAACCTTAAGGGCCTAAATAAAAAAATATAGTGTTACAAATATAATAGATATCTTATTAAAATTAATACTGGCACTTCTTAAAAGCAATATTTGCACTCACTAGGAAAAAGAGCGATTCTGAAATATTGGTGCTTAAAATCAGGTTAAAAGAAAGAAAAAATGTTTACTTATATTAATGTGCTAACTTGAGATTAACAAACATGTTGATGAATTAAGTATGCTTAACACAGCCTTTATAATAAAATGAGTTACTGAAAATTAATTAAATACTAAACTATTTGTATGTACCACTGTGAGTCTTAAACAACAACATGCCGGACTGTGGATCTAAAGATACCATGGCTTGCGTCCCATTAATGCAAAATATAAGAAAAATTGTTCTCTGCACATTGAAGCTGTAGATGCCTTATAAAAGTGACAGTTAAATCTCACTATTCAATTAAAGTAGCCCAAGACTTAGGGGTGGGTGTCTTCCCACTAGTCTATCACCTCAAAAATGTGTTCAGTCTCTCTATACAAGAAATATAAAAAAATGGAAATTTAAAAACCTGCAAATAGGGATCATAAAAATAAGTAAGGAAACAAGGCTGTAGATACTGTAGACATTATTTACTCAAAATAAAACCCATATTTTGGCTCCATGCTCTTACTTAGAATTACATAATTACAAACCCCTATTTCAACTCCACCAAATGTAATTCTAAGTAACAGCATTGAGCCAAAATAGGGGGTTCTATTTGGAGTAAATATGTTTACAGTATCTACAGTCTTGTTTTCTTACTTTTTCTACATTCCTTACATGCAGGTTTTTAAATTCCCAATTTTTTATTTATCTTGTTTGCTGGCTTTTTTTATGCTCAACTATGGGTGAAAGATTACTTGATATGTTAGCTAACTGTATACATTGTAATGATAATAAGCATAGAACTTCGTTCCGACGAAACTTTAGTGACACAAGACCTAACTTAATAAAACTGGTTTATTCTTTCTGAATATAACTTTACCGATACACTTATTTTCAACAGTCGCTCTTTTACAAACGTTTTAACAACGAACGTTAACTTCAACAATACTTCCTGACTGCAGTTCAATTACTTACTACCTACACACACATATTGATACCGTCACGTTGTGACCATCTTATATATACCAGACTACCCTATATCTAGTAATCTCCCAACAGTTCACGGAGGTTCGAGAGAAGTGGCGTGACACTAGTCACGTGACCTCTCTGACGCAACATTAAGTTACAGCTGGAGATTATCATTGAGATTTGTTTGAGAATATAGTGAGCATTTATAGTTTCTGTGTAACTAAATTCTCTCTATATACAATGCCTAACAATTGGTAAATATATGCCTAGACTAAAACACAACCCCCACTAGGTACATATTGTTGCGTCAGCGAGTCACATGAC